GTGATAAGGCGCCGAAATTCCACTTCCGTTCAGCAAAAACCAAGACTTATCGATGTGGAAAGGGGTGCGATAAGAGCGTGCTAGATATGATACCGTTATCGTTATCGTCCCGTTTTCATTCTGGAGTGCACCTCTTATCAAGCAGCCGCACCTTCTTATCTCATCGTATCATATCTTCCATGGGCTTACACTCGTCCAACAATTACTGCCTCACACCTTATCGATTGATAACGCGAGGGTAGCAAATCCAGCGTGGAAGCCAGCGTGATCGCTTCCTTTAAAAAATAAACGGTTTTCGAACATCATTTTTTGTGGTGCCAATGAGCTTACTACACAGGTCTTTTTGTCTACGTCTTTTTATCTAATATTCTGTTACTAATGCGGGGGTTCTCTCTAAATTCGCAACGATTTCCAGATTCTGTCTTCGAAGGTCTGAATTCACTAGCAGCTTCAAGACCAGAGCACTTCCTTTCTTACGCCCTCGAAAGTGGGTGAAAAGGAGCGCGTTCTGCTCGACTCAAAATTCATCTAAGGACTCTGTGACAGAAATATCTATGAGTAGGTCTCAGACTTCAGCAAAAAAAGTTTGAAATTTTTAAGGGTATCTGGATTGTTGTGCTCTAAAGTGACCTTAGTAGTAGAACGTATTTGTTATGCAGTTTGTGCCGAGAATGGAAGCAAGCAAGCATAGAAGCGCTGATGAAGATTCTGCAATGTTCTTCGCGATGAAAATATATGCATTTTTAGGCGCATAATTCTCGTCCCGAGAGCCGCCGACAATCTATTCCGCGTACGCATTCAATCGGACCGTTCATTCTCGTGGTTTGACGCATTCAAAACAACACCCACATCGAAGCTATCTTGTGACGTGTTCGATACGAATCGCCCAATCGCTCCCATATCAACGTCTTCCGAATCTCGCGAACTGATCGCCATTTACAAAATCCTATCGGATTGCACCGGCTGACTAGTATTCTGGGACTGTCTACATTTCGGACGGATTTATTGTTTGACATTCTTATTATCTGGCTTATTCCTGGTATTCAATATTCTGTTTAGTTTTGGATTTATATTTCCTATGAGATACTACTAGTCTTGCTACTTTTTGATACTTACTTAGCGCTACATACGTATTACTTCTATTGTCAGAGTTTGCACTTTTTACCAATATAGTGGAGTTTACGTGGTTTGGCCAGCAGACACAAGTAAGGTATCGTCCTAAAAACCCATGGGTCACAATTCAGCAACAGCGTAATGAGCTGATAGTTGTAAAACTGGTTGGAAATGGTACGCCAACAGAAAACATTACATGGCAGGTCATCTTTCCACAGCTCAGAGCATCTCAGCAGCATAACTGTGGTCTGGAATGGATTGCATATTCGCATGACAACATATGATGCTTTCAATTTCTCAGTGTTTGCTTCTTCATTTGCATATTTAAAGGTAATGCTTCTGAGCATTCAATTGCTGGTTCCTTATTTTACATATTAGCGGACGATTTCTAATGTCAATGTCTAATGCAAATGCTGTCATATGAGGAGAAGTAGCGTTACAGAAGAAGAGAATCTGTGTATTGTCGGCTGTATATAAGTCGCGCCTGAACCAATATATTTCGGTCTTCAATAAAGCCTTGAAAATCGTCTCGGTCTTCCATCGTTCCAAAAAGGTGGCGACCACGGCAGGGATGCGATCTTCTGCTTGGACCGACAATCATTTCCTACCTGCGGCTTCTGCCCAGCCGTCCTACATCTCCCTATCAGTGGCTTCTGCCCAACCTTCCTACACCCCCATATCTACAAACTCAACACTCAAGCGGTCGACAAGCACTCCGCATCAACTGCCTACACGTTGAGAACCCATCAAGCCCGTGCTCTCCTCATCAGCTCAGATTGACGTCACAACGCATCGCAAGGTCATCTTCAAACAGGTGTATTAAACTATTGGCCGGATTCTCGGCTACAACATCAATGCTCCTCGCACGATAGCGCTCGCTACGAAGGCAAATAGGAGCTTTCAAACGACAACTCCAACGCCATGTTTCCACTGTTGCGAGTCTCCTTCAAGAGAAGAATGTTGAACATCCTACGAGCAAACTCCGACCATTGCGATGAGGACGAGCTACAGTCGTTCCGCTTTGAAAACAACTCTTATCTAAGCCAGCACTATATGAAGGCTTACAATCCATTCAGTCAAAATACATGACAACTGGACAGTCTGCGAACGAAAAAGGATCTTCGAAGACTATATCGGAAAATACGGAGATTACTGAGGAATTATCGGTGAAACAGTCACTTATTTGGAGCAATGTGATGAACTCTTGAATTTTATCGATAAGAGGTATGCTCGGCAAAAACTCAATCCACCATCAGATTCCTCTGATGCTTCTCGGGACAACCACGATACTCATCGACAGCCACGAAGTCACAAAATAAGAAAAACCGCAACACTGCATTCGATTGCAATTTCGTATCACCGTCATCCAATCGTTCGACGATTCTACTCTTCTAAACTTCGTTGACGCTTTCATTCTTACCAAATTGAACTTCCCACGTTTGACGGAAATTGTTACATACCCTGAATTCAGATCTCATCAGATACTTTGGTTGCGTTGAGATGAGCAAATGACAAATTTCTTCCCTATTTTGTCATACAGAAGTCGTGCCTGCGCAGCGAAAGCGCTGCAATTTTCCATTAAGGCCTATTTTCTATGACTGAGTTAAAAATTATACACATAGCTAGGAAAATTCTCGGAACCGGATGATGAAACATGTTCTCTACATGGAACTAGCGCCTCTGTCGCCATGCGATGAAGAAGGCCGTCATACAATCAAACATTCTCCCTCTTTAGGCAATTTTCAAAAGGCAATGACGACTCGACGGAACCGTGGTCTCGGAGAACTGGCCGATTAGAAACCTTCCTCTCGCAAACCCAAATCCTCCGGGAAAAATCCTTGACAGTGCTTCACAACTTGTATCTTACGCATGGCAAAACGTTGAGCCATTTTTTCTGAGTCTCAAAACCTGGAAAATGCTTTTTCTACAGTGGTACTATGTCTCTCAGCTCTTGTCTCGCGCAGGTATCATTTTTATGTTCTACACAACTCTTCCTCATCCCAAAAAATACCAATTCTATTCTATTTTTATTTGTCCGTGGGAGTTTCTGTAACTTCCACAGAACGGCGATCGATGGGTTGCATATTTGCATAAAACATGTGATGCTTTCAGCTTCTGAGTGTTTGCTTCCTCATTGTATATGTTATCAGATAATGCTTCTGAGTATTCTATTTGCTGGTTCATTTTACACATTAGCGGACGACTTCTGAAATACAAATGCTGTCAAATGCTGCTGAGGAGAAACAGCGTTGAAGAAGAACACAATCTGAGTATTGTCGGCTGTATATAAGTTGCGCCTAAACCAATACTCGGTGTTCTTCAATAAAGCCTTGAATCG